ATATATATATACTTTGCAATGTGCTTTATTTTAGATTGTCGCGTTCAAAGAGAAAGAAAGTTCACCATGTGAAATAGAATGCTCCTTTTATCTCGCTGTAGTTAAGCATAGTTCCATCGAAGATGATCCACACGATGATAGTATAGAAGCGGAGATACCGAAAATGTATTTGAAGGTCCAAAGCCTTATTGAGTTTGATACTTTTGTGATAACGCATGGCCCGTTTACAAGTGTCGATAGTGGTAAGTATGTACAAGTTTTATAATATTTTGGAACATGGATAAATCTGAAAACATATATCAATGCCTTGTTCATTTTTATCATATTTAATAATTGTATATTTCATTTTTTCCGTCTCTATTGTTAATACTATAGACTTTCCTCATTCTATATATTAGATATTAAAATCATTGATTACAGTTATAATTGATGACACTATAATATCATTGTTCATTATTAAATATTTATATGGATAAGTAAATTGTTTGTTATAAATATGCATGTATTTGTGTAAAATATGCATGTGATTGTGCAAATTTATCTTTCATTCTGTATTAGCATGAATGGCGTAAGTATGTAGATAAAAAATTAAAGTTATATATTATTTCATATAATTGTAGTTTGTTATACAATTTAGGATTAATATTTTCGATTTTATGTAACTGCATTTCTTTTTTAATGATTTCTAACAATTTTTAATATTTTTTAATTGGTGATAAGTATAAATATGCTTATTATACCGGCTGATTCTTTTAACTATATATTTTTTAACTATATGTAACAATGCTAGATAGGAGATATTTTGTAGCGAGTATGACAAACATCTTTAAAAATTAATTTGATTGTAGTATATACGATAAATAAATATATTTTCTTTATTTTTTGTCCGTTTTAATAACGAAGAAAGAAAATTATTTCGCTCGTAAAACTTAAATAGAGCTGGTATTATAAAGATGATATAAATATTAATGATTTTTATTAATGTAATTATATACAATGCTCTCGTACTTTTGTCTAGAAATGTTAAGACTAATTTTCTCACTAACTCCTACTAACGCTCGTTTGCTCGTTATGAATATGCTATGATACGGATAATAATTAACATCTGGAATTCAGTGTGGCATACTGCTCTGCTACTTTTAGGGGGATTAACGGGTGGATTTTTTAGGGAATAATGATCAAGATGGGGGGTGCATTACAGAAGTGGTGGAGACGATCAACAACAAACGTAGAAGTACCGGGATAGGAGGCAGGACAGACGCGGCAGGAACACCGCAGAATAGACGACCAAAGCATCCGGCTTACTTCATTCCGGAATTGGCGCATGTTGTCGCCCTATGCGACGAGCGAATACCATTCGTAACTCTGGCTCAAGAAGTAAGACTTTCATTTTTTCGTTGATTTTTATACACAGCGTGTGATAATCCATCGTTAGGTAAAGAGCGTTTTGAAATATCCTGTACATGATAAATTTTCGTGTACGTTATAAATTGTCTTAATTTAATATTGATATGCAGCTTACTAGACGAGAAATAGCCCATCAAGGGCTCCAAGTTGAGACAAATGCCACGGCGTTGGTGCTCAAACTTGTTCAATTACCCGCGCCATCACCAGGTATTGCTACGAGCAGTGCTTGGCATGCTCTTCTTAAACGACTTCTGAGTGTCTCGATTAGAGTTCAGGGCAAGGGCATGGCTAAAATTTGGACGGTGGAATTTGTATTTTATGGTAGTCCTCTTTCCAGCAGTCATCCCAAAGAACAAGGTATCAATATTATTTTTATGTAAGATATGTATATTGTTAATATACATTGTTAATATACTTTTTTTGTATCATTCTAAAATTCAAAGCTTAAGCGATATATATATAAATTTAATAATAAAGTATTTATATATCATAAATCAGTAATTTTTAAATTTTTGTTATCTAATATACTCATTAAGAAATATATGTATTATGTATGTATATGTAAATGTGCATATGAATATATAAATGTTTTCATTTATTTTCATTTAGAGTAAAATACAATACATCGAATAAAATTGAAGTTTCTTGCGTGAGCAGATAAAATATTACATCTTTTTCGATATAAGTTCGATCCATCGAATGTGGAAATTTTTGATCTTACAGGTTTACGAAGACCAGTGTATTTTCAATATGAAGTAGGCACAGCCGATACCGTCTCCCGCACTGTAGATGCCTTATTAAATGATTGGGCACAGATAGTGCATTTGTATTTGATTGTTTACGATTTCGCTGAATATTTCAAAATGGGTGTGTTATACATTGTATCCGATCTTCGATGTTTCAAATAAATTATGTTTTATACAATTTGCTTGCTTTTTTGTTACAGAAAAGTACAACTTACGCAATATGGTTAACATTAAGTCTTATAGTTATAGCAAACTATTTCTTGCATATGGTCCAAATCAGGGCGCAACTGTCACTGTACAGTGGAGTACAAACGATAAGGCATTTAAGCTCGTATTTGGCAAAAGTAAGTTTTCTGCATTAATATTATTTAATCGAATGCTTAATCGATAAAAATTATATAATAACAAAAATCTTGTTTATATCTTTAGCCCCACCGACGAATACAGTGACGAATGCACATTCTATCATGAAGGAACAGTTAGAAGCTCATTTGAACAGACATATGAATCTGGCACAAATTATTCACATACTTAATGAAACGCTCCAGCCACTCACGTCAATCAGTAAATTGCCATCAATTCCTCAGTTATGCGTGCATGCGGTAAGTGCACGCGTGTATCTGTCTTTTTTCGGTTTTGATTTACGGCTAAATTCCTCTCTACAGAGACCACGAGTGCCGGTACAAACGTTTACTATAATGCCACAATGTGTCACTTTAGTAAGGATAGCATATCAAGGAATGTATTGTTTGGAATTGCGTTTACGCGGCGGGGGTTTAGTAAGCTTACGCGATGGTGCTTACAGTCGTTTCGATAGAAGTAATGTCGTCGATGAGTTCACGCCTACACAGGGCCTAAAGGTAAGAAATAGAAGACATTTTATTCGTTCTTGCATTTGAAGAATTTGAAGAATTCACTCGAGGTAATTGTGATCTCATCTCGTCATAGGCGTTTCTATCGAAATATGTCGACGAGAACGCGGTATATAGAAGAAGATCTCAATCAGAGGATGATAATCCACCATCACCCGTTACTATGGATAGCGACGGTGCTGGAGGCAACGTAGGCTTCCTAGGTCATCACAGAAGCGGACCGCAATCACCCGCCCAGCAACGCGAAGGTCTCAGGTTTCATCCACCGCTCACCCCACCATCCGGTAGTAATCCTCATACACCAGCCAGTCCTCATACTACGAATATATCTCAAGTAAGTGATTAAGATACAGCAGTCTCTTTGATTTTGATCTTTGGAGCGATATAAGAACGGAATGTCAAAATTATGGGATATCTTCGCCTATCAATTACTATATTTGCACGAACGTTATGAATATTAAATTGTCAAAGTGTAGCACATGCAAGTGACTATCCTGATAACATCCATATTAAAATACATAATAAAAACATCTTTTAAATACGTATATTGTATATACATATGCAAAAAATAGTTTGGTTGGCTGTATTTTTTTATATATATTTATATTTTTTTTAATATAAGAAAATACAAGAGCTCACTTTGAATGCTCAGTGAGCGATTGTATTTCTATATGTACCCATTAAAAACAATTAAGTGCGTGCGCAACTTAGCAAATTATGATTCCCCATCTATTATAATATGAAAGTAGGCACGATATTAATATCTGTGAAAGGGTGTGTTCCATTTTTTGCATGATGCGCATAATGCATCATTTATCCTTGTTTAACATGCAAGTAACAAAGATAAATGATGCATCATGCGAGAAATGGAATGCACAAAATACTACGAGGAATGCAAAGATTAGAGAAGCCAAAATTAAATAGACTACCGTATTTTTTTCTCAAGTCTTCGCCTCTCTACCGAGTGACATTTCTTTTAGGCAAGTCAGCATCAAAGTTTCGGAAGCAGTCCTGCGACTTCATTTAACTTAGCATCTCCGCCGTCATTACCTCCAAATACACCTAATATGTTACCGCACCCATCTCCCGGATCAGGACTTGTTGCAAATAGTCCTTTGAATCCAATGCATGTTCCCAGTCCAGCAGGTCTTATGCCAACGTCATCACCTGGGCCTTGCAGTAATGTTCAAGTGGGTCATTCACCTGCTGGTTTCATGCAAACAGGTATGTGTATGACATAAAATAAAGTTTTCCATTTTTATACTTTATTTGCGTATTTCCAGATTTTTTTCTGTTAATTTTTTTAATTGATCTTTCTTTTATCTTATGAAAGCGCTTATTTTAGTTGCTATTTTTTTTCGCTTGAATTGATTATGGCATTATTCCAATACTAAATGGAACGATAATAATGATAAGGCAATTGCTGTAATGATACATCAACTTTCAGGCCATATCGACGGTAGTCCTTTTCCGGCATCTCAAAGTATGGCCTCTCCAGCTACTTCCAATTGGCCTGGATCTCCGAGTGTACCGAGGCCTTCTCCTGCAAGACCCGGTCAAAGTCCGAGTCATGCGGCATTACATAGCCCACAGGCTTCTGATCATAAAACCGGTACTCACATATCCAGGGTGTTACCGCAGAGATCCTGGGCAGGAGCCGTTCCAACGCTTCTCACGCATGAAGCCTTGGAATTGCTATGCTGCCCTTCACCCAATCCCTCAGGTTTACCGGGTCCGAACATGTCACCACTCGAGAGATTTCTGGGCTGCGTCTACATGCGAAGGCAGCTGCAACGCTTTATCCAGACGGACGATTGCGTAAGCAAACTTGCATATAAATCGTGACATAATTCAGAATTTCATTCTTAAAACTATATGATATTAAGCTACGGCGTTTCTTTAGGAAAAGATTTGTGCAAAAAGATTTTATTTATTACATTTATTATATATTTAACATAAATGTACATTAGTTTGAGATTTCATCTACCTGGCATGATTAAAACCATCTTAACTTACAATCGCAATAAGTTATTGCTATTGGTATATACATAAGATATATTATTTTACATATGTATGAATTATTACAGTTAACTGGTATTAACGCTGAACCCGGTATTGTACATTTCAAAGCCGAGAGTTTGCAATGCAAAGTTGGATTAAATCCGCAACATTTCCAATCTCTTCACATCAAGGTGCAACCACTTCCGGAATATAAAGATCAATGGAACTTGGAAGAATTATCGGTAATCAAAGCGGACATGTCGCGTATCTACGCAAATTCGACATAATTCGCTCGAGCAAGCTAAAACAAGCTTTATTTTATTCGCAGATTATCGAGAAGTTCTTTGATTCACGAGTGGCCGCACCACCCTATAAACACAATACGCTGTCTGGTTTTGGAAGATTGCTTAATGTACGTTTCAAAGTTTTGAAAGACTTCGTGCAGATAATGAAGTTAGAGCTGGTTCCCAATCTTGCGCAGCAACACCAATTGAAATGGTCGGTGCAGCTGTGTTTGCGTATCCCACCTTCTGCTGGACCAATTGTGCCTCCGGGCACGGAGGGAGTGCATGTTTGTAGAAGTAAAATTTTATTCTTCGTAAGTGCTATTTGCATTCTTCATATTTTCTTCAGATTCGCACTCAATTGTATTCAATTAATCGATTAATCGCTTGTATACGACTTTGTCGTAGTTGCAATTAACGAGAATAGTTATGAAGGAATATCAAGGAGCATATACAAGTCAGTATCAAGGAGAAATACCGTCCTTGGTACTGCCGTTTGTATACGATGTCACTACAAATTTAACGCAACTAGCGGAGAGAAGAGACCTTAGTCAACCTCCCCCGACGATTACCGCAGCGTCCATGCAGCTGAAGAGATTTGCCGAGTATGGCGCGAATCAATCGGAGTGCTCATTATTTCCTGCTGTGCGGGATCTTCTAATCAATTTCACATTACCATCGGAACCGGTTATGTCACAGGTGATAATCTTAAGCAAAAGACACGCGTTTATGCCTTTCATAAGATTGTTGGATTATGATGTCAGAAGCAAAAAATGACATAAATTTTCTTTCCCTTAAACAAGTTCTACAATGAGAAAATGACATAAATTTTCTTTCCCTTAAACAAGTTCTACAATGAGAATTTAAAGCGTAAGACTTAAGTTGTAAGCTTTAAACTGTAAAAAATCCCAATCATTCTCTTTATATTTTAAGATTAATTTCTCGGCTTAAGCCTTAAAACTTAAATCTTACATTAGGATCCGCTTTATATATCGGAATTAATTTCTCAAATCAAAATCAATAATATCATTTATAATCATATATTTATTGATATTTTATTTAATATAAAAAATTGATAGAACTCGCTGACTTTTTATGTATAAAATATATGGAATGAGGTGTATTTTTAATGATTCCGAGAAAATCATATCATATCAATAAAACATTTTTACAGGGAGATATCTAATAATAAGAAAATACAAAGTTAATCATATCTCTCTGTAACAGGTTGGGCCATCCCCCGTGGGAAATCAAGTAGCTCCCACGCAACAGATTCAAAACACAGCGATGCAGATGCACTCGCCTATGGCTGGCGGTCAAGGTCCCCCGCAAGGACCGTACGGAATTCAAGGCATGCCACCGATGGGCATGATGGGCGGCCCGCCTCAATAGGACTTGCTTTACTCTCCTAATCCCCTTTGTCTACCGAATCATCCAATATGGATGAATTAAAAAATGTAAACTTCGATTCTTAAGAGAAGGCTATCCATTTGCGTTCTCACTCGAATTTGCATCTTATGGGGTATCTTAGGAGAGAAAAGTGCATTTGATTTAATAAAAATAAACATGGACAGTTGATAAAAAAAGAAGTTACAAAATCTTCCTGTGCGAGTGAAAATCTACTTGCTACTTGTAAGTACACATGCAAAAATAAATATAAAAATGTTCAAACAAATGTATAAATTGTATCATAAAAATTAAATGTATTATAAAAATTAATGATAAGTAGAAATTTAATAGATAATTGCTCTTACTGTACTTGCCAATGCTGATTCTTTTGTATTTATATTCTAATTCATGTAAAGCGATATTTTCTATTGAAAGTTATACAGCTATAGAGTACAAATCTATTAAGGCAAATATGTTTTTGTAATGTATAAAAGTTTAGTATTTAATGAGATTTATGACATTGTTACAAAATGAAAGGTATCGTAGATTGTGTGAAAAAACGAATGTAATAAAAATATTCATAAGTATATTTCTTAGATATATTTAGGATGAGAATTCGTATTGTGCTTTCGAGTATAGTATGTGAACGATTCTATATAAAATATATCAGAAATACAGTTTTTATATACATATATAAAAGTTACGTATTTTATAATCGGCATAATTAATTTAAATATTTTAAATTGTGTACATTTATTTTAATTTGTGTACATCTGTTTTAAAGCATGGACTTTGCAAATCTTGATTGATTCTTGATGTTTATTTTCACAATAATTAATTGAAAGTGAATCATAGAAGAAAATAATTTGCATTACACATTTTATATCTGGCATTTATGAATAATATATATAAAATTTTTATTTTGGTTCTGTGTGTATACAGCTTCTTTTTTTTTTACAAAAAACATATAATACTCTTAACAAAAATCAATCGTACTATATTCTTATATATGCAATTGTACAGTACTCATAGTTAATAATATAATGTATTGGAATATAACTGTATATCAATAATCGCATCTCAAATATATACACTTTTAGGTCAGGTATCAGTCTCTGTATATAAAATTTGAATACATCTTGATACACTTATTTCACATGATAATTCTCAACTGTATCGAAACAAAATCGAACGTTACTAAATATCTTAAATCTTGAACTTAAATTAAGAATATCATGCGTTCTTGGCCATGTTTGTGTTGTCATTGTTTTTTCTTTTTTTTTTGGTAATCTTATCATTACATCTCACATATAATTTTTCAAAAATAATTTTTTTACACAGTAGCCTATCCTTTGTATCTTTAGTACCAAAAAGATACTTGTGTAGATATCATTATATTGATTTACGCGAAACTAAATTTTATCATGTACCATAGCATACGACTACAACACGCGCTTTATATTCATTATCATTTTTATCGCGATTTCAGAATAAACACGTAAACTTGTCACATTAATCTTGACTCGACTTCCACTGATTCTACATGAGATTCTAAACTGATGTCTTAGGCTTCTCATCTTTTAAACTGGTATTTTTTTCTCGACTTTAAATAGCTTTTCTGGAATTTATACATTCAATATTATGAGACTACATATTAGACAGCGTTAAGAATCAGGTTGTTTATATCGCAATACTTATCCCCGTTTAATTCGAGCGATCAAATACATAGATGTAAGTCGATGCATTTCCTAATAAGGAAGAAAAAAACATTGCCATTTTGAAACCATTTCTTTCAATATATTGTTTCTATGATTATGAGAAAAATATTTACAGAAGAATTTTCTCTTCTGAATTGGCATTTACGATATTTGGCATTTGCACAGGGATCCAGATTGCAATAAAAAAAACCTTTACATATTTTAAGATATTTGACGGACACACTATGCGAACGAACGTTTAAAAATAAATATAAATATTCATAGTGCATAATATTGCATGCAAGAAACGTGTTCTTTATCTCTAAATTAAACTGCACATTATATAAAAACAAGCATTTCACTATATATCATAATTTTTTTAAACTATCAGCTAACAAGTTAATGCAAATTTCAATCCTCCAATTAGTCTGTGCGGTCTCGTATATCGCTCTTACACGAGAGCTACCTATTATCATGGTTCGTCGTTAATTATGCGTTATACATAATTCGTAAGTGCATATGATAAAATACTCTTTTGATATATATTTCAGGTTCAGTAATTATGTCAGAGATAAAAGGAGGTTTGATTTATTACTTCCTCTATCAGAGAGAACAGTGATGTGCAGCACATTTTCATACACGGCAATCGATAAAGAAAAACAAAATTAACGTTCAATATAAACACTCTGACTTTGTGAACTATTCACAAAGTGTATACGTATGTAAAATGCATCCTCCCGCGATCTATGTGTCGGCAATGACGCCATTTCCATTTCTCAGATAAATATTATTATATATATATATATATATATATATATATATATATATCGTTATATATCTGATAATTTTTAATTACTCAGGTACATATATATACATACATATTTAAGAAAAATATAAAGCTAGAAGCATTTATTAGGTTCAAGTCAGAACGTACCATATAAGTATGAAATTGTTATCAATTACAGAGAATGTTATGTGTACCTTCTTCATTTCTCTCACCAATGATATTTGGAACGAAATTATTTTCTCAAGAAAATATATATATTTTTAATGGCTAGAGCAATCAGCTCATTAGCATCTCGCAATAGATCCTACTACTGAAAATAATCATCTTTGTGCGAAGTCATTTAGTGAGTGTACGTATAAGAAGCCTCCACAAAATCTTGCCGAACGCAATAAAAGAGCGAAAGAGATATGCCAAAGAGTATATTGAATTCTTGGTCACAAATATTTCATTACATATTCTTCCATTCGAGACAAACGAAACATCGCGTGAGTATTCCAAATTGTGATACAAGCATCTAAAACGTTTATGAAAATATTGTAATATCATCGTATCGTGTATATACATCTACTGTCCGAACGTTCGTCTGCGAACTAACTCGTAGGATAGAAGCCAAAAGGCGAAAAAAGAAAAAGAAAAGAAAGAAAAGGATCGTCGCGTATCCCCAATCGTTTTTCAATCATTTTAAACGCTTGTATCTTCCATAATATACAAACACTTAGCACAAAACTACGAAACGTTATCAATTTACAGTGACGTCTTGGGATACTTCGTATCGTAATATATATACATACATGCGTACACCATTTGTGATACGCAACATGATATATATATATATATATATATATATATATATATATATATATATATATATATATATATATATATATATATATATATA